CGATACTGCAGAATGAAGCAACAGGATAACTGAAGTCTGGCACAATAAAAGCAGAATCTTCCACTACTCAACTGCATTTCAAAGAAAGCATATTGCAGTCTTTTGATACAACAGATGTGGCTTATCTCTTAAATCTGTAATCCTAAAGTGTTAAGAAAGTTTTTCCTTCCTTCGATATGCTACATTTTAAGACTGGTATCCTCAGTCAGGCTCTTATTGCTAGTGTACTAGCATACAGATGTGACCATGTCTGTGCTGAGCATTTCCTTGATTATTAGCAGTTTTGTTTGGGATCCCAAAATAATTCCCAGACTTTACAAAGCACAAAACAAAAGCAGGTCTGCTTGTTCTATGCTGGAGCTCTACCTGTACTTTTATTGGAAAGTTGGATGGATAAACCACTTTCAAACATTTACCCAAATAATACATTTTCCTTTCCACAATTTGTTTCTTTTGAAACCTACTGTACAAGATCACTTTTCTTAACTGATTGGTAAACCAACACCCCTGTAATTAACCAACCTCTACGGAAAAAGATATGTAGTGTTTGGTAGCCTTAGCCTTATATACCCCATGCACTGGCATTGATTGATAACACTTGTGCTCAATTAACTCAAGGCAAACATCCCATTGGCCTTAATTACTAAGACCAGCTGGTAAATGTAGTTTTCCCACTTTTTTCAGACTCCTGAAAATAAATACAATATTATACAGGGAGTAGTGACTGTGCCATATCCTGTGGATATTTTTTAACCAGATCAATTAATGTGAAATACCTTGATCAGGAGTACAATAGGACCAGCTCTCTTGTGATTTGAGTCCATAACCTTGTAGTCACCAGAAGTCCAGAATCCTAATCACTGCTCTAAATACACAGCAACTAAAAATGTGGTCTGCTATAATTTAATATACAATGCCCTACCAAAAAATATGTTAACTATTGTAATTTTGATTCAAACCAGTAATACTTCTGCAATATATACATATTTCACACAAATTTGTATTAGAACTTATTTACTTTGAAAAGCCTACTTACAAATTCTCCTTGTCACAAAGATTACAGCACATCCATTTGAGAAAGCATGTAGAAAGTATAGAGCTAAAAGCTACTGTATTATTGTATTATTAAAAAAAGAATCCACAATGAGTCTACAAGTAAAGGTGCTGGTCTGGAACAAAGGTTGACCTACATGATCCAGTTATAGAAGCTGAAGTAGATAGCTGCGTCAGCATGCTTAGGCTGCAAAGGAACACGTTAAGAAAGGAAAAGAGACATAACATTTCATCTGTGAAGCCTCTTTCAGGCAACATTGTGTCTCTTTTCTTTTCACCATGATCTAGTTATACTATAGTCATTTTGAGTATACTGTCTGTTATTAGCTGACTATAATAATAATAATAATAATAATAATAATAGCTTACACTTATATAGCGCTTTTCTGGACACTCCACTCAAAGCGCTTTACAGGTAATGGGGACTCCCCTCCACCACCACCAATGTGCAGCATCCACCTGGATGATGCGATGGCAGCCATTGTGTACCAAAACGCTCACCACACATCAGCTATTACTGGGGAGAAGAACAGAGTGATGAAGCCAATTTATAATTGGGGATCATTAGGAGGCCATGATTGGTAAGGGCCAATGGGAAATGTGGTTACACCCCTACTCTTTTCGAGAACCACCCTGGGATTTTTAATGACCACAGAGAGTCAGGACCTCAGTTTTATGTCTCATCTTAAGAATGGTGACTTTTTACAGTATAGTGTCCTCATCACTCTACTGGGACATTAGAACCCACACAGACCGCAGGGTGAGCGCCCCCTGCTGGCCCCACTAACACCTCTTCCAGCAGCAACCTTAGTGTTTCCCAGGAGGTCTCCCATCCAGGTACTGACCAGGCTCACACCTGCTGAGCTACAGTGGGTTGCCAGTTGTGAGGTGCAGGGTGATATGGCTGCTGGCACAATGCCAGGGTTCCAAAAGTACTGCAAGGGCTGAATGGAGTTGACTTAATGAGTGCATCCTTTGCGCCATGAGATATCTGTCTCCTTGACTTTCTGAGCTCCCGCTCATTTGCAGTGATGTCAGAGCTTCACCAGTCCAACAGATGTTAACTCTGCTGGTGGCACTGGGGGATTTCCAGTCTGAAACGTGCTGCGTGACAGACATGACAACATTATGGGAACAGAGTGCCTGATCTTAAAATTAAAATTTTAAGTATTAAAAGTTATTGTGAAAACACCACAGTAAGTGCAGCAAAGAACAGTTAAAACAACGGTAAGTATGTTTAACTAGATCAAAGTAAGCATTCCAAAAAATAACAAACACATTGAAAAATCTCGTGAAATACTTATAAAATGACCATTGTAAATATTTGAAAAGCCAGGACACACACATGGTAGCAGCTGTTCTATTGTCCCTTATGGTTCTTACTGTTTTCAGATGGATTAAGCTATTGTTCTGAAATTGGTACCACCTGTACTGGCTCTTTATGCCCTGTTAAAATAAGAAGGCAGCTGAGTGCTTTTATCAAAGGACCTTTCCACTCAGACTTTTCTAAAACATAGGTGATGACCGTAAACAATTAGCTTCTAAAATAAATGCATTTTAAGCTCTGAGACAGAGTTGGAAGCCAGTTGGAAGCCAGATCTAGTTTCACGGCAGAAAATGAAAGGAAGGTGGTTCTAGTGACTGTCAGTATTACAGTATTACAAGTTTTCTTTATTACTTTCTATAATTATCATAATTATCTTGATGAAGATGTACAAGCTTTCTTAAAACAGTCAGCTTTCCAAATGTCAGGTTCTTGACAGACTGCAAACCTGGCCCACAGACTTAACAGTCAATAATTCAATGGAGTTCGACAAATAATTGGGCTCATCTACAGGATTAAAACAGAGAGGAGAAAGACTTAAGCACAATTACACTTTTTAAAAACAATGCTTTATTTTCTATTTTACTTTGTCAATAAGTTAAAAACTACAACTGCTTATTTACTGAAGGTCAGGGTCTGTAGTTACCTTTTTTATTAGTCCCGCAGTAAGTTACCGATACCCTATGGGATATACAGTATAAGTATAATTTACTCATAGCCCTCAGTAGAGGTTTTAATGTTCTGTTACCAATGATAGAACATCTCAATACATCTATTCTTACATATAATATAGCTTATCTTATGGGTGAATAAATCAAGCTTGTCACTGAGGAATCTTTCGTTCAAATTGGTAAGAATCTCCCGAAACCTGATTACTCAAGGTAAACCATATACAAGTAGTCAATAAGAAGAGGTGTATTAGATAATACATTGCATTTACAAATCAAGTGTAACTGACTAATTGTCAGGAGTATCATGACATTGCCATCACCTATTTACACATGCATAAAGCAACTTTTGTACAATAAAATATGGATTTGTCTTGATTATCTGTTATCCTGCAACACAAACAGCCAAGGGTTTTCTGTATTGAGAAGAAAAAACTTGGCTTAAAAGAGCAGAGAAAAGCAAAATGTCTTATACATATATTGTGTTAATACAAATTAATATGTTTTCAAGTGAAAATAGTCACCAGTTCTCAATTTATGTTAGTTTATTTTAGCATGCTTATCCTGGAAAATCAGAAGTTTACTATCTCAGAAGGGAATCAATGAATACTGAATGATTCACAATTTAAAAAGTTCTTCCTAATACAGTGAGTCACCAGAGTATTAGTGCAGTGAGAACCATATTAAATTCAAAATGCATTGTTTAGCTCTGCTCTGTGGATGATGATCAAATGCTTTCAGCTTTTTGGGCACAAAAATGTCCTGGATAGATAACAACAGAATCTTTCCTACAGAAGAGGAATCACCCCAGCCTCAGTAGAAAGTACATCTTAACAAATGCCAGGACATTTTCTTGTGACCTGTATGGTGTTCTGCTTGTGTTACCTTAAAATCACCCCTGTTCCCACATCACAGCAGACAGTGGTAGGAGGAAGCTCGACAGACCTCTGTGAAATGACTAGACAGTTAGCATTTCCCCCAGGACAGATTTCTGCTCCCACTCTTCCACCTTTCTCAAAGTGCACTTTAGGCTGCTTCTGGTTTTCAGACATGCATGTCAGCATTCAGCAGACTGGAATGCTATTAATTATTGAAGGCTACAATTTTGGCATTTTGGCATCAGGAGGTGATCTGAGGCAGGTTGTGTGCCTTGGTATTGAATGTGCCTTTGCCCTGTGTGCCTCAAAAGTAGAACTTAATCTAGGGTAACAGGCATGAACAAAGTCTGAGAGGTACTTTTGAGTAGCCAAAAGATGACTATCCAATTACAGAACAAAATGAAAGAGCTTTTTGGTCCACAAAAACCTTGAGATTCATTTTCTGCAAGTGAAGAATGCTGCAATTGTGTTTTTTTTTTTGTAATCTCAATTAGGTCTTTGTAGTCTTACAGCTTTAAAGAGTTCATTTCCAGCTTCAGGAAATATCACATGCATAACAAAACAAAATTTTACAGCTTCCTTCTGACTATTATGTTCAAGAAAAAACTAAGTGCAGTTCTTTTGAGGAAATAATAGATCATTGTATCTCTGTACACAATTAACTCAATAAATTTTAAAAAAATGACGGTGACAGTAGCAGCTAAACTTCAGCAACTTCATAACCTTATTTATATTTACAGAAAATCAGAAAGAGACAGAAATGGGTTTCTGAAAAACAAAAAGCAAAGTATTTTTAAACAGTTAATCTTCAAAAATGCACTTAATACAGTTCAATATTATCAATCCTATCTCCATTAAAGGAACTACAGCAGAGTTCCCTGTCAGTTTACATTTTCTACACAGCATTTAACTCTGGAGAATCAAGGGAAAAACTCCTGACACACTTGGTATCTTCCACAGTGTTATGTAAAAGCTGCTTCCATCTCTACCACTCTCTTGCCCTGGCCTCCCCTTGCATATCCCTCTGAGTGTCCACTTGGTACAGACCACACTGCTGTTATACTGTCCCTGTAGTCTAAACTGCTCAGTGCTGTAGAAGTCCAACAGTAAGAAGGGGATCAAGTATAACTGTGTGTGAGCAGTACAGTTCAGTTGTGGTGTAATTCTTGCTTCTTTCAGGGATCCCTTACCCTGCTTGACAACAGAATGAGCTATATAATGGCACACCCTTCCTCCTGCTGACAGAAGAATCAGCAAAGACTCCCTCAAACAGCTGTGTGCAGCTGTGTGTCTGTCATCACTTGAACAGAACAAAAGAAACTTAACAAGATCATGTCCTCTTCTGGATCTAACAGCCACAGTAAGAGACTGCCTTGTAAGTATTTCTATTATATAAAATAAGTGTAATCATTCTGTTAAATCTGCCTTCTCACCCAGAATGGGGTTTCAATGTTTTATGGTGTCTGTAATTTTGATTAATTGTTTTTTGATTTCAAACAAGTCCAGAAAGTATCTCTGTCGTGACTAAAAATGCAAGTTTTTTTTTTAAATTGGTCACTGCCTTCACTTCTTGTTATTTAAAGTAAAAGCTGTTGAGTGAGTACACCTTTAACTTTTAAATAACAACACAACACGTATACAGTGTGTCTCCCCAGCATAGATTTGTGTCAACAATTATCATTTTTCATGAAACTGCATTTTATATACAAGTACAGAATAAATGATTATATATATATAATTCGATATATTGAATTATTTTTCCCAGCTCCAGTAATATTTGTAGGTTTAAAGGAGAGAAAGATTGCAAAATCATAAGAATGAATCTATATAGTATGCCCCTGCTTGGACCTATACTGCGTATGATCCATGCAATGAAACAGATTGAGTTAAAATTTGGATTATGGTGCAACACCATGTTAACAATAATAGGGCAACTTTAAACTCTTTGATATAAAACAAGCATATAAAAAGTTGTTTTGAATTTGCATGATACCTCACTTGCCTAGGTTTACTAGATGAAGGTTGGCTAATAGAGATCTATCAGTGTTGCACCACATAGCCTGTCCTGGATGGGGTCTCAGGAAATGATGGATTGGAGTTGACATTCCAGTATACTGCAAAAAGAAATTTGAATTTAATCCACTTACCCCTACACAATGCATCGACATCTTCTGGATAAGTATTAAACGAGTCCAAGGCTAGACAGTCTCACCACTCTGGCTTGAGACCTCACCTGTGGATCATAGAAGTTCTCATTTTACATGTTTATCTTTTGTCCTGTTGCTTCACATGTGGTCTTCTGTGGTGGACTTTTGAAATGTATGTATAGGTGTGTAAGTTTAATGGATTGAGTGTTAATAAAATAATGATAAAGCTTCAGAACCTCTTGAAATGCCACAGGATGCCTTGGTTTTGTTTCCATCCAAGTTCATAATTATCATTCTCAACTGTTTACCAGGATAACTGAATCCATCTGGCACTTTTCCAGGGCAGGAAGCAGGTGGTTACTTAAAGAGTTTTGTGCGACTTTCTGGACAATTACCCCTGAAAACTGTAATTCAACATCACAGCATTAAAACAAACAAGGTTTTAGAAGGATTGTGCTTGTTTAAGGGCAGACAGGGATTTATTTAATGCTGTTAGTTGATTAGCAGACTGGTTCAACTTAATATTGGCTCTTGCCTTCTGCTGGTGTTCTCTAGATAATTTCTGTTAAAACATGCTTTCAACTTTGAAAAAAAGAACAGTCATGAACCATAAGTTTGTACTGCAGTTCCATCTGTCCCACATGATTATAAATACAGGTAATTAGGGGATGGGATTTTCTTCACAGGTCTGATATATTGCTCTTTGGGGATATCCAGATTACGGCATGTAGGATCCATCAGGATAATGATTTAGGCATCAGTGAGCAACAACTGAATTGTCTCAATACTGCATTTTGGCCATTATGTAGGTCTAAAATAGCAACTGTTTTAGAAATCAAACATATGAAAACCATCATCTTTAAATACCTGTCTGGCTGAACTAAGAAAGTTATTATTTTAGCACCGTTACATCAGTCCACTAATTCAGGCATAAACACACATGCATGCACTGGCATCAGGAAATTATTCCTGCTACTCTTTGAATTCTGTTTCTTGTTCAATCATAGAAACATAACAGAAAAGATCTTCACTTCTAAAGAACGAGCAGAGCAGGGCTCTTGGCCAAGGTCTGACTGGCTTTTGATTCACAAGGGAATGATAAATCAATATCGTAAAGAAAACATATTAGGTTGCAATTTACAAAGGATTCATGCATTCAATGTATTTCTCTTTATTTTTCACACATGTACTAATATATACATTTTAAAATTTAAATTTAATTTGTTGTAATTTAGGTTGTTGTCCATGTTAATTGTGTCAATTAAAGGAGCTAATCTCCAATAGATTTTCCATTCATCTTGTGGATCAATGCATTCTGCATTTTCACTTAAAATTGGAGTGGGTTGTGTCTCTTTGTCTTGTGGGGGAAAAAATAGTCTTTGCATAAAATCTGGGTAGTTAGGGTTTATTTCTGTATTGCTAATCCACTCAGTTTAATCCTGTGATTTACACAGTCAAGATCCTGGTGTCCCTACCCCCATCCTTTTCCAGACATATTCTTGCCACCAGGATCTCTTCCTGACAGTGCAGGGATTATCCATGGAGCTCGCTGTAATCAGGTTAGGTCTGACATTTGTGGAATTAATGGGGTTAGATTTCTGGGTAGGTTCACGGAGCAGAGATCCTCACGTGACGAGACTGGCCAGCTTGAAACTTATACGTGCTTCTCAGAAACAGAACCATCCTCCATGACACATGAAATAATACCTGAAATATATTACAGAATGGATTCTGTAGAATCAGTCTCTAGTAACTTGCAATTCCTTTGCTATTAGTTTGAAATCAGCGAGAAGCTTCAGTGTACAACATGTAGCAACCTCCCCACAGACACAGTCACACATGCAAATAGCATCTTACAGATAGTGATATCATTGTATGAAAATGATAATACAGTTCATGAACTTCAGACATTTTAATAGACTGTGCCAAAGGCGTAGTTCATTACTGTTTTAAACAAACAGTATGAGTTCAAGTATTATTGGCAAACCTGGACAAATCCCAAAATGAGATTTCAACCCAAAGCTTGAAAGTCCCAAAGTATTCTTCATGTTTCTTCAGATAATATGGCAAAAATATTTGTTTTGCGGGGGTTTTAAAACTGTAATTTTTTATCAATTTAATTTGTAATGCATACAGTTTAAATTTTGCTAGGAGACATTCACAGCTTGTTGCTTGGGACTGAATACTCAGTAATATTATGAAAGAGCTCATAAAATGAACGAGGTTAATAACTTCTAAATCACTGACCTTGAAGTATTGAAGTAACCCTGTCTGGAAAGATTGTGCATCACCACCTCTTTCCTTTAACCTCAAAGGTTATAGATTGTTTAATCAAGCAGCATGCACCATATGTTCCCTGGTAAAGATGCACCGATAATTAAAGCTATAAAATAGATTGGATGTCTTCAAAAGAGCGATAAATAGTTTTAGAAAAAAACTTCAAGCAGCATTTAGTGAAAGAGAGAAGCTATTTAGACCAGCCAGAGCTATGTCAGAACTGAATTTAGACTAAACAAAGTTGAAGAAGATAAGTAAATATTCAACAAACTTAAGGAGCATAAGATTACTAACTATACTGCATAAAAATGGATTAGTAAATAACATGGGCATTCTGTCTCACGTCTGGAGTGATGCACGTATGCTGCAGACAATAAAATGACTATGAATCACCAGACAGTTAAAAAAGTGTTGAAAAACAAACAATTATTAATTTGTTACAGAAATTGTTTTACTAAACCTGAGTTCCCAGTAAATACTTGTGTGAAGTGTTTTTGCATCTTGTTTCTAACAAATGAATCCCACTCTCAGCATGCTGTCTGGCAATGAAATTGCCTGAATTCCAGGGACCCACTGCCCCTCTGCCTTAGGACCTGTCTCCCTCACCTGCCATGTCGAGACAGTGGAAGAGTGAATGTCAAAAATAAAACATACATTCATATATTCATACGCAATACATTACACCTATTATGTGTGCTTTCATATGCTGGCAAAAAGCTTCAATACATGTTATTGAATAAATCTCAACTTCCTGAACACATGAGAAGCTATAGGGAAAACTATTCTTGTGAATTATGACTTAGGACGTCTGTAGAAACCTGGTGTGTACAGAAATTGTGTCCCTAAGGGACACTTTAAACTCAGATCTTTCAGTGTATTTTGAGTGGAGTGCTCTGATAAGGGGGATTCTGGTGTAATATCTTTAAATAAAGAAAATCTAAGTCAGACAGCAACTACATGACAGCTTGCTGTGGAAGAACTCCAGTTACTGTACATACACATTCACAATCTACATTCATCCTTTAGCTTATCCTTTTCCAAATAGACTCCCTGTTAGGCTCTTTATTTACAAGTACAGGAACCATGGGACACAGAGAATATTATTACACTACAGTTCTGCTGAAGGACATTTCTACATTTAGATTGGACAACGTTATGATTTTCATGGTAATGGAAGAAAGCTGCAAAACTATCTGTTTCTATTGAAAATCTGCAATGCAACAACAACTTTACAGCTGTTACACTGTGATAGGAAGTAGAAAGAACTGGGCCTTTTGTTAATCAGATGATAAATGACACAGTTTTGAGAATAAAATAAGGAGTGCTGTACCTTTCCATGATAGTGTGTACAGTCTCTATTCTAAATAAATTCCCTTTAAGTTTAAAAGTGTATTGTTTCAGATCATTGAGACTGGTTAACTAGTTCTTGATCCATATGGATTCCTATGGCTTTAATCTGAGAATCAACACTTAATGAGGAATCTTACCAAAAGCTTGCTGTAGGTCTAAATATATCATTTTGTATATGTGACTTTACATAACTATACCTATTTAAAGACATCTAGCAAGTTAAATCTTCACTTTCTAAATCCATGTTATTCATTCCTTAAAACACCACTATTCTCTAAGCCTTCTTCTAATTATCTCTCCAAAAGAAAGACCAATTGATTCCCTTATTCAATTCAGAATTGGTGTCATTTATCTAATTTGGAGATACTATAAATTCACATTCTAAATGACTGCTGAAATATCTTAGCTAGGGGTCTGTGAATAACATCCCCTCTTCCTTAAGTAGGACTGGTGGTTGCACACTTTGCGATCCATTGGTCTATAGTCTCCCTAGACCCTGTGGTACTTCAGTGTCAGCTCTGTTAAACTCACCAACTCCTGATGGAGATTGTAATAACATGGGTCATGTTACTGACAACTTCTATTATAAAAATATTGGATT